TTGATTAAGATCTATTATTTTATCTTATTAATAAACTAAATATTACATCTATCTTGAAATTATATTTTGAAATTGAATTATATTCTAGCTAGTCACAACAAGAATACTATCATTACCTATCTTTAGATAAATAATAATATTTATATTCTTATTAATAAATTTTCTAAAGACTCTTTTAAATATCACTTTAAGTATGTGATTATTTTTATCATGTGCTTTTATAATATTAGATTTAATACTCATTCTCAGAATAGAACTCGTACTAAAAAGATAATAATATAAAATAAAATAAAAATAAAAAAATATATTTTACTTAAAAAAGATAATAGATAAAAAATAAAAAGTGAAAAAAATAAAAAAAATATAAACTATTAATATGATATAATGATAGAAAGTTTTTAATTTAATATATTATATAATAGATGACTATAATACTATTAATCTGATACATATTTCAGATATATCTAAAAATTAATTGAGTTATAATTATGTTACTTAGACAAAGTTCTTTTTAAAATATTATCAATTAATTTTCAGTTATACTAATCATTTTGAATTCATGTAATCAAATATTTACTTTGTCTGATTGCAATCTGTTTTATATATATTACAAAAAATTTTCAGTTATAAATTTATATTTATTATTTTTATTAAATCAAATATATATTGAATTTTATAATTGAATATTGCATTAAATTTATCTTTGAATTCCTATATTATAAACAAATATTGTACATACAACTAATATAATATAATTTTTATTGTAGTTTAACTGACATAATTATAGGTTTTATACATAATACAAAGTTTGTCTGTTTTGATTAACTTAATAATATAGAACACTAAACTGCTAATCAATAAATGTTCCATTTCAATTCTTTGATCACCAAAACACTGAATAGAGTAAAACACCTATCTATAATATATCATCATCAAAGCTTGGGCTTGTCTTGAGCAGAAATTATTTCAGGATACAAGAGGGTTGTCAAAAATTCGGCATAATCTTTACCCGTGATTTGCGACGCAAAGTATCGTTCAGCTTGTGGATATTTTGTAGCATTGAATTTTTCGGGTCCTAGTTTCTTCTCAATCTTTGCCACTTCATCGTCAAGAAGTTTGAGAAGATACTCTGGTGTGACAGTCTTATTCTCATCGGTACGAGCGTGATGTTTGGCCCATTGCCAGAGTTGCGATCGTGATATCTCTGCGGTAGCTGCATCTTCCATTAAGTTATGAATTGGCACACAACCGAGTCCTCGAAGCCATGATTCCATATAAGTAAGACCAACAGATATATTACTTCGAATTCCAGCCTCAGTTATACTACCAGGTACATTCGTATTTAACAAATCCAACGCGGTGACGTTAACATCTTCACGTCGTACGAAAATTTGATTTGGTGTTTTAAGATTTTCATTGAAAATCTCCATAGCAATTTTTACGAGATCAGGATGTGCAACCCATGTACCATCATGGCCAGCTTTAACTTCACGTAGCTTGTCTGCTCGCACTTTGTCTAAAGCAATTTGATTCGCTTTAGGATCATTCTTTATTGGAATTTGAGCCGCCATACCACCCATTGCATGAACGCCACGGCGATGGCAAGTCTTTATCAAAAGGCGAACATAGGCATCCATGAAGGGAACGGTCATGGTAACGTCACTGCGGTTAGGAAGGACAAAATTTTTGTTGTGGCGGAATTTTTTGATCACAGAGAAAATATAATCCCATCTACCACAATTGAGTCCAGATGAATGTTCTCGGAGTTCGTAAATAATTTCGTCCATCTCGAATGCAGCCAATATGGTCTCAATCAAAACAGTTGCACGGATAGTGCCTCGTGGTAGACCTATAATATCTTGAGAGACGTTGAAGATATCATTCCAAAGTCTATTATTATAGGTGAGAAGATAATGGAATTTTTAGCGTGCTTCCAGTTAAAAGAACCTTATGAAATTATGGCTATTCATTTTCATACCTAGCCTCTAAATGTGATTCCATTTTTGGGAGATAAAAGTATGGACCAATCCCTATTTCAATCGTTTTCTTGGCATTATGGAAAAAATATAAACCGAAGTCAAAGATAGAAGCGGAACAAGGTTCGCCATCGATCAAAAGGTGTGCTTCTTCCAAGTGCCATCCACGTGGTCTTTAAAAGGCAATGTCATTTAACAAGGATTATAGTTCTATTGAATTTATTGGATGGTCACTTACCGAACAATAAGAGTGGCAAGTTTTCCATCTTTACGTAATGTATAATTCTTGCCATTGGCAGGATTAGTATAAGCAATGGTACGATAGTTTGCATCACGCAAGTTTAATTGTCCATCAATATTATTTTCCCAAGTCGGCGCATTTGAATCTTTAGAATAAAAATGCAAATCAATTAAACAGCCGAAGCTTACCATAATTCTAGATTGTCAAACAAATTCTCACCTTCGAAATCCGCCATGTAAGTAGAAGCACCAGAATTTAACGCATTAATAACCATTTTCCTATCTACAGGGCCAGTAATTTCGACGCGCCTATCAACCAAGCCTGGCGCAGGATATGCCCCACGCCAGGTATCATTCTCGCGTATTGCTGCAGTTTCTGGTAAAAAGTCAGGTAATTGACCAATATCAATGTTTCGCTGACGCAAGGCACGACGCTGCAGCAAAGCCTTTCGTGTTGGATTAAAAGCACGGTGAAGTTTCGCCACGAATTGAATCGCTTCTGGTGAAAGTATCTGCGATTGAGCGGGGGTGACAGAAGCCAAAATACTAACACCTGGAACAATGGTAACAGACATTTTGAAAAATTGTTCTTTGGTTTAACCTAATATATTTTGGGAATATAATAATGATGAAACGGAAAAAAAAGAAGAGATGGATGGATGGATTATCTATCAGTATAAATATTTATTTTTCCCGACGACGTCATAGCAAATTATAACAAATTAGACTAAATGCATCATTATTGTTATCATTGTTTGACAAAAGATCTATCTCTATCACTTCATGATGTTTCATGATGTAAACATCCTAATAATTAAGTCTGACTCAAATTCGCTAAAAATCATCAGATTTTTTTCACTAGCCAAATATAAAAGGCATACGAAACAAAACGACGTCGAGATATCTTTGAGCATCCGTGCTGGATATAATAGTTTTAGATCGTTCATTATATCAGTGAATTTCTTTTCTCCTTCGATCTGCTGTGCATTAACGCTGTTTACGCTAAAATTCTAGTAGAAATTAGTACTTAGCGTTAGTTTTTTTATCAATAAACCTAAAATTATAAGGATCTAAAAATACCTGATCATTTATTGTTGTCATGACTTTCCAAAGATTTTCTTTTAACTTTCGAACATCGACTTTATTCGCGTATTTAGCAAACTTGATGGTTCTTGTTGCTGATTTATCGTTAATTTTTGTTTTTGGAGGAGGAGAAAAATTTTCGTCATCGCTTTCTCGATCATAACCATTCCTTCCTCCAATTTCTTCTATATTATATTCGTTCATTATTCCTATTTCCATTTCATCCTCTTTTTCGCAGAAATCTTTATTGTTTGAGAGGATCATTAAAAGGTTGATATTACTTCCGAAACCAATTCGAAACCAAATAGTACAAACTTTTTGTTTCGTTATTATCTTTTAATAACAATAAATCCTCTGGATGTCCGTCATCATATTGCATTCTATTCGTCAGCTAAATCGAGATAAAAATTGTATTCATATTTAAATGGCAACAATATAAAAGTTAGCATAAGTCTACTAATTCAACCTTATATTTCCGCTTATTGAATAACTGCAACAGACGTTGAGAAGTAATTTGCATATCATCGGGAAGCAAATGGTTGTTATTAGCATCTTCATGCCTAGGGAGATTTATGGCGGTGGAGGAACCAGCACTTTTAGAAAATAAAACATGCTCTTCAATATCATTTTTATCTTTAAAGTCAATAAATGATTCTTCCTGTTGTTTTCCCCGTCTCGATTTTATTTTTGATATTTGTTTTACAGATTGTTTTCCTAGATAATGTTACGTAAATATACTAAAAATGTAGAATAAACATAACGATAACACAAATTACCTTTATTATTTAAACGTCTAATTTGCCAATGTTCTGGTCCCATCCAACTACGAGAAACCGACGCGTCAAAATATGAAAAATAATCGGAAATTGGATTTTTTGGACTAGTAGCATGTTCTGGAATATCGTCTTCGAGAACGTCATAATCTTGAGAATAAACACCGCTCTCTGTATATTCATAGAATTTATTTGTTTCTGCTTTATTATAATTATTTTCAAGTTCAACTTCATTATCTTTTAACACGTCAATACATTCGTTGTTATAAATTTTTTCATTGTTAATGTCGCTTTGTCGTGTATTTAATTTAGTTTCGGCTTCTTCTATTATTGGAAATTCGAAGTCTTTTAATGACATACAAATGTCTTTATCAAATATTTGTAAGAGATTTTCACGATATTCAGCTATATTGAAAGATTAAAGGATATTAAAATGAGCCATTTTTATATCTTGCATAAAATATTGTTGCTTGGGATGCGTGTATTACTAACCACGAAGTTTGGACAAATTCATTTTCTCTTCTCGATTTTTATCTTTATTGATTTCTTCATTATCGTCAATATTCTTTGATTTATCCAAGTCAGCAACAGAATCGCCAGAATCAAGAATAATTTGTCCATCAGAATTTATAGATAAATGATTAAGTAACAACCCTCTAGCGCCCCCTTCGTCAAAATCTGCGCAAGTTTTCTTGAATAAAGGATCAACGGAAAATTCCAATTCATATTTCTTCAACTTCAATGTAGAAAATTCTTTAACTAGAGTAGATTCTAATATCGATGATCTCTGGGAGTACATACATAAATTATTATGAGTAAGAGTGAATGGTTCTCATAACTCGGATTTATGGGCAATTACTTTGTAAGAAGAACGACGAGCTCGATATCTTGGCTTATCGAATTCGTCATTCTCAATATCTTCGTCGTCGTCATTTTCATCTTTAAAGGTTACATTATTCTGAGTTAAACCACTTAACAACTTCCCAGTTTCTGTAGCGACCGAATCAACACGTGATGTATAAATCTTTACACAACCATCCAAGGTGCACGAAGCTTTTTGAAAATTAATCGAGTCTCCTTCTCTCAATATACTCATTTCATAAAAATAATCAATTAACTCAAGTTTCCAACTATTATGTGCATTGATTTTCTACCAAAAAAAAATATTCAAATCATTTATCACGTATAAATTTTCGGACAAAGTATTATCACCATAATATACATTATCCGTGGCCATTTTCAACCATTCCTCGAAATTGACATGCATTTGCTCCATTGATATTTTTGGCATTGGAGAAATCGAAAGATAATGAGGGTATAACATCGAATTAGAAGAGGAGGGTTGGCTTCCAGCTGACCGCTTTGGGGTTAAAAGTTTCTTTCGTTGCAATAAAGATTCGCGTCGACGTCGTTTTTCGGCTTTGTCATCATTGAAAGTAACATGTGGCGTGGTTGGTGTGTTTAGAGAGATATTATTAGGAGTGGAAGGAATTATTGGTGGTGTTTCGCTTGATAACTTTGACGTAGACATAATTTTTTTTTGTCTTCTCATTAGAAATTTTTACTTTTATCATATTTTGGTATTATCAATACTATCAACATCACCAACTATATCAACGTTAAATTCCTTCTCGTTTTTAGGTTAGCATAATTTTACGTGATAAAAGACGCGTCGTATGATGCTGATGACGATCATGTAGACTTTATGTGCGATTCTGTTGAAAATTATGGTAGATTTTAAAATAACGAAGTGTACTAAGTAACCACAATTCTCCTCCACCGCCGGATCTTTTAAATCACGGTAAAATGGTTCCTTAAACTCTATATTAGCATCAAAAATACATAATAAACGACAATTCCTAAAACCAGTTATTTTATAATTTTAGAAATATTGTCAAGCAATCTTTATCGAGTAATTATGCCTTATAGTTATGTGTCTTCATGACTCATATTTACAGTACAAAATAAAAAGATCAGCAAGAAAATTTTTCGCGCGTTTATTTTTTCTCATTTCTTTCGCAATTGCATATACATATATATATATATATAAAAAATGTCTTTTCCGAAAAACTTTAAACTAAATACCGGTGCAATCATTCCTATATGTACGCAAAATTTACGTTATTTAGCTTGGAAAGTCGCGTATAATCTGCTGTTTCGAAACAAATTCCTAAACGCTGTTTCTTTTTTATTTTATTTTTGTAGTGGGCTTGCGTACACCGACTAGCAGAACTCCGAACAAAACTTTGGAGGCTACAAAGGCAGGTCTTATAGGAGGCGCTCGATACATTGTGTCCGAATATGCGGTAATATATATTCATATTTATAACGCGCGTTTTAATCAAAAAATTATGATTTTAAATAATATATATTTTTACAGAATCTTAATGAATCTCTCGTTGGTGAGGCTATAAAAGGATCTGATATACCAAGATCTGAATTATTTATAAGTGGAAAGGTATATATATATATGTATGTATAAACGCATATTTTTTATATAAACTGCAGTAATTAAATTGGATGCTTTATAAGTTATGGAATTCTCGTCATCGTGATGTTGAGGATGCATTTAATGAGACTTTATCAAAGCTTGGCGTTGATTATCTTGACTTGTAAGTATCTTTCACATATGAACTTAATTTTTCATAGAATGATTGAAATGACAGCATGACAATATTTCCTGTAGATACATAATGCACTGGCCAATTGCTTTCAAGTATAAAAAGCCAGAAACAAGACTTGAAGATTTATATCCAAAACTGCCAGATACTAGAGAATTAGATATCGATTCAGAAGTCGATTTCGTTGACACTTGGAAACAAATGGAGGCTCTTTTGCCTTCGAAAAAGGTGAAAGCAATCGGTGTTGCTAACTTTACAAAACCAAAATTGGAAAGGTTAATTAAAAATTCCAAAGTTATTCCGGCTTTGTTAGAAACGGAAACACATCCATATTTACTTCAGGTTAATTTTATTCATTCTATCATTATCACCATCATTATCATATGAAATATATCACACATAAAGATTATTATTAATAATTTTATTCTCTTTTAGACCGAACTTATCAATTACTGTAAAAAGAACAAAATCCATGTTAGCGCACATACTTCAACGGGACTATCGAATAGACGTGGGGCAAGCGAGAAAAAGGTTCTTGTCGATGATCCTACTATCAAAAGCATAGCAGAAAAGAATGAAATTTCTCCCTTCAAATTACTTTCTGCATGGGCAATTCAACGCGGTACCACACCTGTTTTGCCCGCGATTAATCCCGAAAGAGTCAATGAAGTTTTTGACCTGAAAGAATTAACGAAAGAAGATTTCGAAGAAATTAGTAAACTTGGGGAAACTCATACAGAGAGATATTTCACTGCCAATGGTTTCAGTTCTGTTTTTGAGGACTAAAAATGATAACAAATAGTGTTAATAATAACAATAATAAATTTTAAAGTAAAAGAAGGATAAGAATGAAGCAATAAAAAATGAGTTGTTTATCCTTAGAAACTCGAGAATCTAAAAGATGATCTTGTTCTTTTTTTCTACATTTGC